ATGTAATGTACACTTGGCAAGGAGAAAAAGTGGAGGTGGAACAGTTTATCATGTATGTGTTTTAGTACTTGAAAAGTTGACAAGTAATATTTGCACTTGAATGTCAGAGACTTTATTTGTTGTCTTGATAAACATGAATAATTACTTCAAATACATTTAAGACAAATCAGTGTATTGTACTTTTAGGCACATGATTTTGGGTTCTTTATGTATGCATTATGATTTAACACACTTGAAACAATCAATAACGCTTGTCTCAAAGTATCTTCCATACTTTGTTAAGGCAAGACTAAATCTCAGTTGTGGTTGCTTTTGTTTCAATCTCTCCAGGATTTAGGTAATGTCAATTTGTCGTTCTTTACACCTCGGGAGTTATACAACCGTAAAGAAAACTTAGCCCTTATCGTAAAAGTTTTGCGAGAAAGATGGAAACTTGATGTTGAAGCTTCTCCCAGAGATGATATACTTGTTGATGGAAATTTCAAAATATCCTTTTTATCTTACAGCGACTCAATAACATGTTGAGGTAAAATTAAAAAATACAAAATTTAGAGATGAAGCCACATCAGCCCTAGCTGGTTTTCATGTGGGTCTTCTATCCTGGTCAAATTGGAATTTGAAGTTGTTGGTTTTTATGGAGGGAGGAAAACCAGAGAACCTGGAGAAAAACTCTTGGAGCAAAGCGAGAACTAACAACAAACTCAATCCACATATGGCAATGGACTGGAATTGAGCATTGGTGGGGGGTGAGTGCTTTCGTCACTGGCAGCGCCATCCAGCTTGTTCCCCCTGCCTGGTCAATTAAACAGTTATAGCTATAGTCATAGGACATAGGCGAGTTAGTTGTTGATATATGAGTTACATTCCTTGACATTAAAGTTACATCTCAGGTTCTTCTTCTAAGCTTGGTCGAGCTGTAGCATTTCATCACTGTACATTACTCCTGGATGCAGATGAACATTTACTCAAATTCCTTCTCCATCCTTCTTATGTAAGTTGCGTTAGTTTTACTGTACTCAGCTTAACGTTCTATCTTTAGGCCCATTGTTAGTTTACTCTGTATACAATCTTGTTTTCTATCTTTCCTACCTTAAAACCATACAAATATTGTGTAAATGGTCATTAATGTACACCTATACGTTGTAAGTGTGGAGGCATGGCCTCATAGTTACATGTAGTACGCTTGTCTCCAGATCGAGTGGTGTGTATTTGAGCCCTGGCTGGGGACATTGTGTTGTGTTCTTGGGCAAGACACTTTACTTTCACAGTGCCTCTCTCCACTCAGGTGTACAAATGGGTACCAGTGAATTTAATGTTGGGAGTAACCCTGTGATGGACTAGCATCCCATCCAGGGAGAGTAGAAATATTCCTAGTCTCTTCATGCTACAGAAACCGGGATAAGTTGCAGCCTGATGAGCCACTTGGCTTATATGCAGACTTAACCTTACCTTTTTATATATTTGTAAGGGACACCACCTGTCTGTAATCTGGTGCTGGGTATACCTCCAGTTCTGTTGTTGTCGTTTCTTTTTATAGACAGACTTCTCCAGTAAAGCTACACAAAGTGTTAAATCAGAAGTCATGAACTTATCCATGAAAGACTTGTCACTAAACTTTGATGCTGTAACAGAGGCAGTGGCACAGTTGTTTTGTCAGATTTATGCTCCAGGAAAGGATGTTGAAATAAAGGATATTGATCCATCAAGAGAGGATCACTTTCCTGGAATAACAGCTTTCAAGGAGGAGCTCCAGGTATGTGACCAGCTGCCAAGATTGCTTTGATTTAGTTCTAAACTGACATTTCCTTGGGCATCATGTATGAGAGTACAGTTGACTCCTGATAACTCAAACCCTTAATAACTCAAATGCAGGATTCTGGTCTTAATGCTAGAGGAAGTAGTACAAGATTAATGAAATGTACTTCTCAGAGTTTCTAGAGGTTGTGATGGAGAGATAAAACATACTGATTGCACTGTCACAGGAAACTTGTAAAACAGGATTTCTAAAATTTGTAGGTTTTCTTTTAGTCCTCGATTAGTCATTTACATGTAGCTGTTTTCCCTTGATGCTAATTTAACCTGATTTTTTTCATTTTGTCTAGGAGTGGAAGTGGATTTATGGCAAAACACCAAGATTTACTGTCACCTTTTCAACCACCCTTTCATCCAAACACATAGTAAGTCAAATGGGCCACCTTCACACGCAGTCAGTCTGCACCAGTTATAGGCTTTTATTTAAAACATTTTCTCTATAAATGTTGTAAATAATAAATTTTGAGTTTCTTTCTTTTAGTCCCTGAAAATCACCTCTTATCATGGATTGATAGAAAATGTTGACATCCAGTGTGACGAAGAGGAAATGCACAGCCTCTTAACAGATCTTGTCAGTGAGTTAAAAGGTAAGCTGTACTGTCAAGAGTAATAAATTTATAGAAATTCAATGTGCTCATACAAACCTGTACAGTCAGTCAGTTATACTGCAAAACTGTTGTCAAATGTATCGGTCTGCTTTCATGTTACTATGCATTTCCTTCTGTTTTACTTTCTCCTAGTCCTTAGCTAAAACATTTGGCAAACAGTATTCAACAGATATTGCTTCAGTCATGCTCAACTTCTGATTGCAATAATGACATCTGAGTAATAGCAAAGATATTGGTGCTGATGACATTATGGCAGTCTGTTTTAACAACCAGCCTCCGTTGTCATGGCTTACAGGCTGAAGAATTTCTACAGAATATTTTTGAATAAATATTTGGAACTCTGCTATTCAGATTTTTTTAGGGAAATGAGGAAGAACAAAAAGATATAACAGAACTGCTATAATTTTGTTTAATTTTCCTTGCACAGGAGTGAAATTTGACGCTGGTGATATTGAGGTAGCACTGTTGGCTCATGTGAACTCTGCATCACTCACAGTATTAGATAGGCAGCTTTGTTACCAGTTGATACAATGGATTGTCCATGTTATATGAATCAGAACTAAAATGAAGTAAGTCTGATTGCAGCCATAAAATCTTGTACACTTGCTGACTGGTAAGCTGCCTGGGGCAAGCAGCTATATTATTCTCTTGTCTTAATATTTGCATAATAATATTTTATATTTATTATTTAACTACTGCCATGAGCAAAGGGTTTCTGGGTGGAATGTGTAGAACCACTGTCCGTCCACTATTAGAGCTAGTCTCCTTCGCATCTGTTAGTGGGGAGAAGCGTTACTCCCTGTGTCATGAAAATAAATTAATATTATTTTGCTATCAGAGCTTTCTGATTACTGAATTCTGGCTTCAGTTCTGTTCAGAAAGGGCGAGTCAAGTAATTACTACATAGTCAGCTTCTTGAACTGAAGATGTTTGTTAATGGAAATGTCAGGCTACATGTAACCCAACAACAGATCTTGGAGCTTACCAGTAATGGACTTGTTGAGGAAATTAATGAATGGAGATACTTCTATTCTGCTTTATTGTGTCTTTTTTTTTAATATTTTACATACAGTCATAAATTGATGACTTCTCAGTAACGATGACCATGACAACTTAGTTGGACAACTAGAGATACATGTAGCAGACATGTGAAATGTTCCTCATAACATCAGTACTTATATTAATGTTTTATAAGCTAGAAGTCGTAATAATTAAAATTCATTGTTAAGAAAGTGATGACAAGTCACACAATGAACAAAGATCTAAATGTTATTAACCCTTAAAGTTATACTAATTAAACTAATTAACAAAATAATTATTAATATTCAAAATTGTTTACTGGCTAGTAAATACATGTATTGCTGGTTAACCAATATGTTTTATCCAGCAATTAAAACTTTAAAAGTAAAACCTTTTAAAAAAATTACATTAATTATGAGAAAGAACTGTAACATGCACCACACAGTTGAATGGATTTCTGCTATTACAGTGTTGAATTATTGCGTATTATTGAAATTACAAAGTCCCGTGAATGACTGTGTATCTGGCATTCCTATAATTATTTGTGAGCAGACACAACATTTATATGTATTGATAGAACCAACATTTAGAAAATAAATGCCTTCTTGTCAGTTGGTTGATTTTTAAACAAAACTATTGCCATCTTGGTCTCTCAGTTAATGATCTTGAATGGGCCAGGGTTCCCTTTCTTGGCCTGAAAGATTGAACATATTAAGTGTTGTATGTTATTATAAATCCATACAAAATGGAAAATTCAGCAAACATTTCTTTCTAGTTACCAGCAAGGTGTTTTCCACAATTCAAGAGTGTGCTCATCAGTTACAAAATATTGAAATTACAGGAAATTAGAGACAAAACTCTTTTTTTCACTTACATTGAAATCAAATCTTTGTTTTAGGTAAGTTCTGATAAATGGCTCTATAAATTAGGTAAAAATAAATTCTTAATTAGACAGTATAGGCAATGCTGTGTAATTTTAAGTCAATAAAGTGAAAACTGTGTCTGCCAGCAGTTTATTTGACCTTGGCTTAAATTTTGAAATAAATTAATAAATTATTGTCCAGGTGTAAATTGTAGCTCTCATTTAGCTTTTTGGTTTTGCACTGTGATGAATGACGTCAACATGTATATGGGGAAAGAAACACCCCTACCGTTTAAAATAAGTAAAACTACCATTTTCATTGACGTTTGCCAAACAGGTCTTACTGATATGATTGCAGTCAAAGAGGTACCTGGAGGTACAGCACCCTCCTGTTTTTCCTCTGGGGTTGGTTACAGCCCCACATAGGCTACAGATACAGCAGGTCATTTTGTCCAGTAATTGGTAACTTTATGAAAATGAGAGTGGTCAAAAACAGTAAAATTGAACAAAGACTAGTGCAGTACAGATCGCTTTTGATACTCACGATGTGCGTGGAACAAAGTTTCTACTTGTTCCAAGATTAGTGCTGCTCACTGCTCTTCTCAAGCCACTGATGTGTTTCTTAACTTTCTTTGAATGCAACTTGTTAAGCTCTAAAGCGCTGGCAGTCCTAGATGGCCCTCGAAATGCATGGACATTTTCTTTTGTGGAACTACAAACTCTAAGTAAGCAAAGGAATTTTTATTGTTTATCAGAATTGTCTAAGGTTGTCCCTTTCTGGTCTTGAGTACCTAAATGAGTTGGGAGGTGGGGAGTTAACTGATTGACTGTATGTAGTGGATCAAGAAAGGCTAGTAGAAGATATACATACCATTCAAAAAGAATTTAACACTATTGTCCATGATTGAATTAGTTAATATCCTCCTTATTTGAGGTTGTGAGGAGAAATCAGATGTTCATCAGCAATATTGTTTGGAATAGGTACAATTATTAATTTGCAGTGTTGAATAAACTGGAATTAGTTGAAAATGCATTTTACAATTACAGCTCAGTATTTTAAACATACCTTTTTGGCATCATGTCTTTACTTTTCTTGTGACTGTTTGATTTATCTGTAGATTGCAATGAATTTTGTAACTTTTGAACAAAACATACAATATTATTTTATCAACAGTCATGGCATAACCTATCACTTCCATTTCCAAATTACTTATAATAATATTAATGAAAACTATTGGATACTGACCTCACTGTTAACCACACATTGTGAATTAATGATCCACAATTTCTAATTATACCTAAATGTACCTTTTTGGTATGCTTCAGCAACATATCAGGTGAGTTAATGGTCTCGCCATGGGTATTTTGGTTCGATTACGTCTTACCAAAATACCCAGGGCGACACCAAACAAGCCCATGGTACCCAAATTCGGCCTAGTGACTATGATCTCGTAGCCAAATCAGGTCAGTGAGTTGATATCGCAGGATATCGGGACAGTAGACACAGCTTCTGATTGGCTAATTGCGAATTTGGGTATGGTAATTAAATAATATTAATCAATATAATTATACATTGTATAATTACTATCAGTAATTAATGGAACACATGTGGGAGGGTTTTTCTGTGTAAGAAGCAGAATTAGTAAATAATAATATTGTTAATCATCTCAGCCTTACCTTTACTAAAAAGATTGCTTTGACTAAACACAGATGGCAACTGATCTTTAAGCACATGTTTATTAACCGGCAGTTCTCTGAGAGGTGTTGAAAGGGGATCTCTAGCAGGAGCCACTGGTCCTATCTGTAAATTAGACAAAAAAGTCTTGATATTGCTATAAGTACTTATTTTATTAGTATTAGGTCTCTCTGTACTTTCCTGTATTCTGCTGTATGAAAGGTTTCCCGTTTGTTTGACTAGAAATGTTTTCCTCTCTCTAGAGAGGAAATTGCTCTAAATTGTTCTGAAAAACAAGTATCCCCGTAGGTACTCACGAATTATGTTCGCTTAAGTAATGTTAACAAATACCTGTTGTGATGACATATTGATCATTTGTTGGTCTTTGTCTTTTGGAGTTTCTGCAAGAGCCTGTATTCCTGATAAATTGAAGTCAGTTGATTCTCTCATGGGTGTGGCATTACGAAGTGTGCTCTGAATCTTCTCTAGAGGGGAGTGTTCCACTTTAACAGGAGAATCTGCCCAACAAACTTTTGGGTGTGGAGTTACTTTCCTTGGGACACAGTTTAGTTGCTCATTTAAAGTGTTCTGGCAGTTTAACACTGCAGGCGATGAAATGTTGTCTGAAACTATGAATGATGTAGACGATGGTACTCGTAAAGGTGTTGCCATGTTTCGGTTTTGTTTAACACTTTGTCTTGTGGTTCCTCCTGGTGTCACTGGTTTTTGTCCCTCGGACTTTTCTTGTAATGAACACGATACTTTTGCTGGCGTTGACATGGCATCAAATTCTTTAGTCAAAGAAATGCATGTATTTCCAATGTCTGAATTCTGTGAGTGAGTGAAAGTCCTTATCACTTGGTTGCTTCTAGTAGCACTCCTACAAGGCATCATGTTGGTGTTTGCAACTGGTGTGTTGAATTGCCGTTTTCTGATTGGTGTTCGTGATTGTGGTGTTCCTTCAAAAGTAAAAGATTGCATTCACAACCTTACATCTCTCATAGATAAATGGTTCTAACATTTTCAACTGCAAATGAATAGTTCTGTCTGAATTTAAGTGGTCAGATTGTCATAAATTTAGTTTTGTGGTGTGATGTTGTTAATATAAGCAGTTTAATGACTCTAAAACTGATTCTGTAACTGTTAAGTAAACAACTCCTTAAAAAAGAAGTAATACAATTTAATAGTCATCAGAAAATCCTGACCTTTCAAAAGTCTTCATTTACAAATTTAATAGGAAAAGACATCTACTGTAGAATCGTAAAACTTACCAACACTTGTGGCCTGGAAGCTTATAAACAATGATTTCTCACTGCTGCAGTGATCTGTTGTCTTCTGATCTGCCCAGCTCACTTCACGTCCCTTTTCAACAGTTTCAATAACATTGTCATATTCATCTGTCAACTCTTGCGTAGCAAGGCCGACACCCTTCAGGAGGAAAAACTGCTTCTGTACCATGCCAAGTAACTTTTCCACCAGTCTAAAAACAAAGTCAGGAAACCCTGCATGATTTATTGTTGAATATTTTTCTTGTATTAATAAAAATTATTCAATATGAGAGAACCTCATTTATCAATCAGATGATTTTCAGGAGACTCCAAAAATAATTAATTAAGCTATAAAATTATTAACAAAAAATTGTAATGTAGTGTTTTCGATAGACTGTTCACAGCCCTCTGTTTTCTTGTATCTTTATTTGATTGTTGAACGCACAGGTAGAATCGCGAAAGAGAGAGACAAGAGACTTGACAGGGTAGGGGGTGATGACACCTTGTGCTTTGAGCTCGCTTTGCTTGCTTTTTGCTGCACATGCCTTGAAAAATAGAGAGGTTGTGGATAGTCTGGTTTTGAGAATTTGGTGCCAAGGGATTGATTTTGAATCTTAGCTTATATGTAGAAATGATTCTTCAGTTTCTCACCTCTCTGTATTCTGGGCATCTTTTTCTTGTGCATTTATATGTCTCTTGTAAAGCTGACAATTTCTTCTTAACTCCATGTTTTCCAGCTGCAAGTTCACCACCAACTGACATTGCTCCAGTTGTACTTTTGCATCCATATCATTTTCTAGAAGTTTCATTTCAGATTGAATCCTCTCCATCCACTTGTTGTTCTTGTTTATTTGTTCTTCATAGTCTGTTTTTTTTGAGGCTAGATATTTTTGTTTGGCTTTGGTGGTGCTCGTACATAACTGGGTTTTAGAAATTGTCTGCCAATTGAGAAAATGAGGGAAAATTACTTAGTGAATGTTATTGGTAATTGTATATCCCATACCTGTTGAACTTCAAAATGTTCAAGCCCAGGGTGGTCCCTGGCAAGGGTTTCACTTACAGTCTGTATTTTCTAGAGGGGGTGGGGGGAGTGAGTGGTCCTCACAGAATTGCAGCATTTTCTTGCAATGCCTTCTCAGAGTTTTCATTTCTTTCGCAAGCATGTGAAAGTCTTAGAATTGCAGAAAAGATAGTAGTCTTAGTCATCTAGTTAAGGCTCAAATGTGCCATTTGCCATCCCTATTCCACAAGACTGTGAACAGTACAAAAATTGCATATTAAGTATTTTTAAGTTTAACATACCTGCTCAAGTTTCTCCCCTTCAACACAAACAAACTGCATTCGTTTTAAAGACCGCTCCTGCAATAAAATATATCATCGGAGGTCAGGGTTAAATCCCAACTGTCAGACAACTTAAAATGGTAACAGGAATTCAATGGAAATAGATTTTGGCTTTGTTCATCCAAATCTATGCAGATACTCTTGGGACAAGAAAAGAATATTCGCTCACACAACACCCTTTAAGCAAAGGTGAATTTTAAATGTCTTGTGTAGAAGTAGACACTACATGTCAGAACCACATTATGAGACCTGTGATTTGACTTTGAAGGGAAATGAACAATTTATTGTCACAGTCATTCAGTTTATCATGCATTACTTTAGTAAAAAAAGGGAAAAAAACAGTTGTTTACCTTTCTGTAAAGTTTGACTTGGAGATCTTTCTCTGTGGCTTCAATGTCAATGATGTTTCTTCGAACCACCATCCTCTCCTTCATGACACCTCTTAGGCTTGAACTTAATCTAGTGAATACTGTATTGTTAATAACGAACCGTGAACTTGTTTGCAAGTTGAAATATCATTTCTGATTTTTTTTTTTCACATATGCTTCAAAAGGTGATGATTTTTTCACAACGTGTGTCTATTGTGAAATAGTTTTTAAAGGGATTTATTTATTTAATAAACAAGAAAGACTATACTTGAGCTAGCATTTAACATGGTTTCATGATTGTTGGCTGAAGATCTTGAAAATTCAGACATCCTGAACTTAAAATAACCTGTAATTTACTTAATTCTTAATTTATGTAACATTTACCTTTCTATCTCTTCTGTTTGTGCACCAGAATCAGCAGACTTCCTTGGCATTGTTGGCCCAGTTTCATATCCAAAAAGTTTCTTTTTAAGCTCTGAGATCTGAGAAATATTGACAAATTGATGATGTACAGTTACCAACAAGATATTTGTTGGATGGGTACTTTTGTGATTGTCTTGATGCAGCATTGTTTGCTCTGTTGGTTGAGAAACAGACAACACAGAAAAACCCACTAGACTTTCTAAAAGTCCTTTCCAATAATTCTTCCCTGGCCTGTTGGTTTCGCTTGCCCTTTCAACTTTGTTGCTTGAATTTGCTTGAGGGAGGTAAATAAGTCAAGGATTAAGAAAAGGTCGGCTTGGTTTAAGTCTAAGAAAAACCTTTCCAGCATCCTACTGTATTTATCTTATTTGCAAGCTAGCTAGTTGTTTTAGTTTTAGAAAATTCTTAACAAACGTGTACATATGTGTTCTGATTAGCCCAAACTCCTCTTCTTATGGATTAAATATTGTTAGCTTCAAAGTCAGCACAAAGAATCGAAATTCTCAATTCCAAAGAGCAAACACAATTCAGATCAGCACTAATGAAGAGATGGAAACCAGCAATTTTGGTTATCTGGTTTGAACTAGTAGTTAGACCCAAGTGTTGAATGGGAAGTCTGTCTCACAAAAATTAAATCAAATGAGTTTTCATAAGACAAGGACTACTGTTAACTCATGCATTACCTCTAGTCGTAGCTCTTCTACAATCTTAGCATAGCGGCTGACATGCATGTCCACAGACAGTTCATTTTTAACAACCTTGCATGTGATGTTCATGGCTCGATCTGCATACTTCAAAGTGTTATAGGTGTCTTCATAACTCAGACCTGATGGGCTAAAAATAATGCCAGAACATGCAATAATTTATCTTAGTTTGATCTGAAAACATAGACTAAGTTTTTTGAGCATTTTGGCATACATTTTGTGGTTTCTGTAGCATTGCTGTAAGTGGGAGTATTGTGTCAGTGTAAAAACTTACCTTACTGCAGCTATCATGACAGTTCTGCAGTTTCCTCCAAGGGAATCTTTCAGGAGTCTTGTTAGTTTGCTGTCTCTGTATGGAATATGCCCTGTTTTGTTCTATGGNTCGCTGGTTAGCACCAAGCATTTGCACTGTAGCCAGGTTAGTATGATTTATACTCCTGGTTACCAAGAGACAAATTGAACTTATTAGTGATGTGTCCAAGAAGACAATAAAACAACCTTAGCCAGAGTGCTCAAACCTGCACCTCAGAATCTAAAATAGAGCATATTAACACCATTCCTCTATTTTTCCCACCTTCTGTTTCTTGCTTTTAGTTAATAACTGGTGGTTTTATTGCTTCTGACTCAGGTAGAATATTTAACCATTTTAGTGTTCATGTTGTACAGCTGTGACTGAGATGTAAAAACTTACCTTACTGCAGCTATCATGACAGTTCTGCAGTTTCCTCCAAGGGAATCTTTCAGGAGTCTTGTTAGTTTGCTGTCTCTGTATGGAATATGCCCTGTTTTGTTCTATGGAATGTCAAATTATGAATAAATAGGTGGCATTTTTGCCCAGTTATCTTGCTAACTAAGGCAACAGTCCCTAAGTCTGCAAGGACAAGCAAGCCTTACAGGGGGAGGGGGGGGGGCAAATAAGGGTATGCAAATCTACCGATCCATGTCCTTTTTTTGCCAAATTCGTCAATCTACCAATATTTTTGTTCAAATCTGAAACCACAACCGCATCCGGAAACAGAAGTGTAAAAGTTCAAAGGTTGACTGGTAAATGTGAATGCCATTGTTAATGTTGCACAAATAGTAAAGAAGGCAACAGACTTGATGACTATAACACAGTAGAATTCCACTAACAGTCTCACACCTGAGTTTAAATGAGCTTCGTTCAAAAAAAGAAATAATTTTGTCAAGGCTGAAGAAAGATCTATGATCCAAATTTTGTTTAGGACCCTAGATCCGAACATCAAGACAGGCACAATTCGGAATCCGTGCCAAAATTCACAGGTGATCCATGATCCACTGTGTTTTCAAAATCCACTAATCCGCTTGATTTACCACAAAAATCCACAATCCGTGCGCGTTTTAAAGCCAAATCTGTCGATCTGAAAACCTATTCACCCCCCCTCCTTACATGTAGTTTATTCGTAACAATTTTTCTTCTTCTTTTCTGCAATAATTATTATAGATTGAATCAAGAAGACAGGTCATATGAATAATGAGGCTGTTCATCACCAGAAAATGGTTTGCAGCAAATCCTTACAATGTGAACAACAAAATACATAAAGACATCAATTAATTAAAAGGAAAAATTTCTTATCTTAACAGTGTCTGTCAAATATTAACAAACCCCAGAATATAGGTTAGACTATGAAGCATGCTCTCATTTTTCTTAGTCTATAGAGTGTGGTGCAAAACAAAGCACAAGTCAAGAAGATAAATAGCCATGTGAGGGTGAAGAAACTTTTCTTTGTTTTGCATCATGTTCAACAGACTAGAAAGAAAAGGGACTGCTCATAATCTAAATATAATCAAGCCTTTCACCAGGTTAGCGGAATCTAATTCCTGACTCATCCCTTATTATCTCAAGCCTTATTCAGTTTACCTCTTTGTCAGCAAGTGCATTAATGCAGTTTCCAAGAGCTAGTAAGGATTTGTTGATGTTAGCTCCCTCTCTGAATCGTGCACCTCTGTTGGATGTTACTATAGCACGCTCTGATCCTGCCAAGTCAATCAGAGACATTTTTCCCATTGTGAAGTTTGCTTGTAATCCTGCTGTCCTGTCCTTTTGTCGAACAAACACCTGGTAATAAAAGCAATAATTCAGCCAGTCAGTCTATCTTGTGCTGCCAATACGTCATATTGTTTGCATTGGCCACTGTATTTTCTGTGTTATGGTATAAAATAGTTATGCAACACTCTCTTGTGGCATACCATGGAATATCCCACAAGTCACTCGTATTTTCTTGGTATACACACTTGCCTTAAGTGTGATATTCCATTGTATACACACCACTCAAAAGCATTGCATAACTAGTATTTATACTCTACTAAAAAGTTATGACAAACCCTGAATATTGATTTATTTACCTGGAAAACAGCATGAGATCTTGACGACTGAGCATTTGCATCAGTGGGATGTTGAGTGCGATTGTTGTTACCAAACTCCAGCATTCCCAGCAGCTCTTCTGCAGAAGTTGGCTGTCGTAAAGTAAAGAAAATCAGCATGCTTACAAGAAGTGCCAACTCAAAGGACACTTTTCACTTTTTTTTAATTTATTTATGCTTGGGAAATTTTCTAGACAGTACCTTGTGTAGAGTGAGACCACTGACACACACTCCTCTGTGTGGATCTTCCCGGACAGCAAGAGGCTGGCCAGGCATCAGGAGATCACGAATTGTTTCATTATAAACCTGCGCATAAAAGGATTAAATGTGTTAGATTACTTTTTCCTGGAATATAGCTAGCTTCTTGGCAGCCTCGTTACCCACCCCAAGAAATGTGAAGACAGGCTGTCCTTGAAATAATGAAGTGTGACCATTACTGGTTAGGTATTGTACCATTACTATGGGATACCTTGCTTACGACAATGCCAGCATGCACTCAATCAATCGCAGCCATAGCCACATTCTTTTACTTCCAATAAGCGGACATGTCTCCTAACTTTACACGTATTCTGTTATAAATAGGACGTAGAGGTTGACTGTACCGTTGTGTACTGTAAGCAAGTGACCAAAATCGAATTTCACATAATATAACAATGCAGGCGATCGCATGATCATAAGTGAAAGTGTAAAAAGAGAATCAGTCAATATCAGTGATAAAATCTGAGCAGCCTATAACAAAGTTAAAAATTGCGACAGGAAATATCTGAAGTAAAAACTGTTAATTAGATTTCCATCTACGAGATTTCCTGCAGGGCAAGAGCCTGCAACTGCACGGGTATCCTTTAATTGGAGGGTAACAAATGACGATCTATGTCGTATAGTTTAGGATCAAGAAAGAAAATTGATTTAAACTGCGTGCAAGCTTCACTGAATTCCTGCCGAACAAATCACCGCTTAGGCTTCTAGCAGGATCTTACCTCAAGGTACGACACAGCCACATCTGAGGTCTTCTCGTCTTTACAGGCATTAATTCTGCTGTACAATTCCATCATCGTTAAAAACATTACTCCAGGGTTTGATTGATCTCCTAGCATTGTAAACGTCTTCCCTGCCCCGGTCGCTCCGTAAGCAAACACAGTACAATTATATCCACCAAGAACTCCTTCCACGATGGTCTTGGTCGTGTGCTCGAACACATCACGATTGCTGGACTCGTGATCGAACACTCGATCAAACATGAATCTTAAGTCTCTCGCTCTTCGTTTAAGAAAGTGCGGTTGTTTGCTACCCCGATTGCTTGACAAATAATCAATGGAGTCGTCTTTTGGATCAAAGACCAGCATACGTTCGTCCATAACACGAACAGAAGTCGACGATTGTTTGGCGATTTCCATGTTGTTTGCAGGTCTGACTCGCACAACAACTTTCATATTGCTGTTTTTATCTCCATTAACTTGCGATCGTCTCGACGATGAAGAACGTTTTCTCGAAGGGCAGTTTTCTGAGGTTTGGACCATTTTGTCTGTGTTCTAGCTGAAATGCGAATTCCAAATTATTTTGTAGTGTTGTTGATTTCCATTGATCGGCTTTCTGCTTAGCGTCCATGCGACACATTTGAATTTCGAACGTTTACCACAAGCTCTTCGCTGATTGGTCAGAATTCCCGGGGCGTATTTTGTTAGCAGGGAGGGAAGGGATGAGGCGGTTTAGTTTCAATATTGCTTTTCAGATCTTGCACAGAAATAACAAATAAAAATTTTACATTTGTAATGAAATCGCGAAATAATAGATATTGTTGTGTACCGAAGCACGTTACGTGTATGCGAATGAGAATGTTTGAATATAAGAAAACCCTTTGATTCGCCGCCCGGTTCACCTCATTCCCAGGCTCTCACCCATCTGCAAGGTTGGTGATGCGATGTCAAAACGGTAACCCGGTCTGTTATCTCTGTGAAACGAGGACCAGATGGCGGATGGCGGCGGGTGGCGGGTAGCGGGT